TCCCACCGACCACCCCATGGGAGAAAAGACTTGGGCTCTATTCCACTCGGGAGCCCATGGGACAGCTTCTCTAAATCAGAACATGGCGCACACAAGCTTAACCCTGCATCCGTCCTGAGAATACACTGCCCTTAGCAAGGACAACAGCTCGCTGATGCATGAGGCAGGATCCGCTCTCTGTTGTATCTATCCTAAAGAGCAGGCAGCTGTTGCTTGTCTGTTGATTGTGGGTGCCAAGTTAAGAAAGTATTGACTAAGCCAGGGTCTCTAACTGAGATACAAGAGAAATAAAGATCAAACGCAAAAAAGGCTATCAAACAACTTTAATGAAGGCCAGATGGCTTTGCTAAAACCCCAAAATTGCTTCCCTTTCAGAGTGGAAGTATGGACATGACCCTAATTAATCAAATCACGAATTACATTTGCGCATTTCAGCCACTCTGGGCCTTGTGGTACCTGATCTGTTGCCCCAGTCCTCCCTAGCAGTGGGTGCACAGAAGTGAAGGATGGGAACTACTGTTTCCTGCCACGGAGTTAACGAAAACCTGGTCGAGTGCTCTCTGGAACGCCCCAGGCTTTGTGACACTTGAAATTCTAATTAGTACAGAAAAGGTCTAAGTTGAAACAGTTTGTACTCCCTCAAGGACACCCAGTCTCAGGGCTCTACAACCTAATGAGGTCTGTGAAATTTAAAATCTAGAAAAGAAATCCCTGCCTGGAGCAACAGCTCTACCCAGGCTAGCGAGAGGATCTGAGCTAACGTGATCCCCTCTCCAGGTAGGAGGGAAAGTACTCCCAGACGGTACAGGAGGGAAAGCCCACGTGATGCTGGACCACTGAGTTGACCTATAACTTAGAACTGCCTTGGCTGTGTCTCTACCAAAGAACAAGCATCGGGGGCTAATGTTAAACAGATGACAGGACGTGCCTGTCCCCCGCACAAAGTGCAGTCCTGCAGGTTGGGGGAGATGGGGCAGTGAACACCTCTAAAAAGTACTTCCTGGTTGCCCTGGTAGGAAAGGCAGTCAAGCTAGAGGCAGAGGCAGAGACTTGGTGGCCCCTAGAAGAGCCCTACACGGAAAAAGGGGGCTCCTTTGCTACTACCCAGCAGTGGAGGAAGAATGAATATTTGCTGAACCCGTTTGGAAAAGGAAGAGAGGAAATAATCGCCCTAATGAATGTGCAGGAGACAATAGCCGCTCCAGTGGGAGGATTATAAGCTCATTACGATTTAATATGATGATTGATCATCTCTGCCCGCCAGCATCATCCTAGAATAGTGATGAAGGTTGGAGAGACCCATGCCGGTCAGCGTTCCAGCTCTCATCATCGGAAGACAGAAAATAGATTTGCAGATTACTTCTTTTTCATTGTACAAAGTCATACATGTGGCCCAGCCCTGGGTTTCTCCCTGTAAACCCCCCACTCCCGCCCCAGCCTCCCCATTTCTCTGTGATTTGTCAGCCGTGGACGGTCCCTCTGCCTGCATGTTGATCAGCTCCGGCTCCCGAGCCTCCCCGGGGAGCTCCATCCCCACCCCCGACTCTTGACAAATGGCCACCACTTCCACTGGCGTGGGTTTCAGGAGATCCTCAGAGGCCCTCAGAGTGTACTGGCAGACATCCGGTTCAGGTAGAAGGCCCGGGAAACCTCTCTATAGGCATTTCGAAGCAGGACATAAGGGAAACAGGACTCCAACATGTCCAAGGTCAGGAAGGATGACTCCTCCACCACCTGGGGGAGAGAGAGAGCCAAGAGATGAGAACTGGAGGGAGGGCACACTGCTGTGGCATGCTGTTCTTCCTCGGCTCCCTGGGTCACGGGGTTCCAGAACATACCTCCCTCTTCTTCCCTCGCCTGTCCTCTCCAGCTCCATTACAACGGCCACAACCTGCCTCCTGCAGAGCTCCAGGGAGGGCACAGAAACAGATGGCAGGAAAGAAGCCTCATCCTGGTGCCAGGCAAAGTCCCACTCTCACCCACCTGGATGCTAAGTCATATGAAGGTGGGCAGCACAAATGTAGGTAAGGATGGAGAACTTTTTTTTTTTTTTTTAATTTACAAAGCTTTGCAGAGAGGGAAACGAACACCACTCTGACCAAGGAAGAGAAGCCTGTGATCCACGGAGTCGTTTTGTGCGGGGTCTCAGTCCCTCCCCTCTCTCAGTACAGTGCTTGGGGAACAATACGCATGCTGCATAAAGGAGCAGGCATGATTAATTAGTTTAATTAGAAGCCTGTGTGCTGTGGTAGTCCCAGCAACCCCCACAGCCAAGCAGAAAGATCATAATAGCTGGATAAGACCGAGGGGGTGGGGGCCAGGTGGAGGGGCTGGTTCCAGATGAGCAGCACAACTTGGTGCTGGACTAGAGGGTCCTCCGCCCTGATTCTAGAAGAGGCATGGTGTGTTTCCATTCAGCGCCCTCATCATCCAAAAGGTTGTAGGACTGAAAACACACACTCGAGAGAGGTGTCCCATCTCCTCCAGCAATGCACGCAGAGGACCCTCTCCAATATGTCTGGCATTTCAAGTCCCCCAAAAAGCACTAAGGGAAGAGGATCTACCATATCACCATAACATGTTTCTCCCTTTCAAGGTCTCAACTGTGTAAGAGTCTCCCATTCTCAAGCCGTCCGTGCCACACACAATGCACACACAGTGCACACACCAGCTTCAGACAAGCAGATACTGCAGGCTGACGGAAAGAAAGGCAGCCTGCAAAACTCGAGCCTGGATAACAGATACTGCTTCTTAGGCAAGACTTTCAAACCCTGAGTCAGGAGAAAGGTAAGATCTCCTAACCCAATTCTGTGGGTTAGGCATTGAGTTGCTAACCACGAAGGCAGCAGTTCAAATCCACCAGTGGCTCTGAGAGAGAAAGAAGAGGCCATCAGCTCCCATAAAGATTGATCGTTTCAGAAACCCTACACAAGGACACTCTGAGTCTAAATCCAATTGATGGCAAATGGTTTGGAATTTTGGCATTGGACTCTCAAGTACAGGCCCAAGATCTCCTAGTCTTCACTCCACCAAGCCTCTAAAACGTGGGAGGCTCCACAGGAAAACAGGCCTGGCAACCGACTTCCAAACAATCAGCCGCCGAAGACCTCTGATGCCCACAGCTGGCAGGTGTCGGGGTTGGCTCGATGGCACTGGGTGTGGATACCTAGAGGACACTTAGGTGGTAGAGTGAAGCCCAGAAACATAGGTTCTAGACCAAAATCTGCCCAGATATTTTGGGGAGACCTTGATGACAATCTTTTCCTAACCATTCCTGTTCCCTCATCCATGAATTATAAGGATTGGACTAACTACCAGGCCCTGGCCTGGTTTTGATCTGTAATGAAATTATTCTATAAGAGAGTCCATCTATGCCAAGCACAGGCCAGCAACACAGGGGGTGGGGGGGTATGCTCTGCCCAGGCTTCACAGTCACTGTCAAGACAGGTTTGGGGGCTACATGAGTAGCCTCTTAACTCAGAATACAGCTCTTCCCCTCAGTCATTTCCAATTTCCAATGCTCAATGGATACATTTGCATTTAAATAGCTTTGCAGCCGCTAGTCCCTCCTTCCCCCTCTCCAACCAAAGAATGTCTGGTCCTAACTCTGTTCCTGCCAGTTTTCTGGCCTCCCTACTAAGCCACAAAACAAAACAAAAAACCCACTTCCATGGACTTATCACTATTCTATGGGTTTCCAAACTGTACATTTTTACAAGAGCAGATAACCTCAACTTCCTTCCGAGGAGCCGCTGATGGTTTTGAACTGCCAACCTTTCAGTGAGCAGTTCAATGCTTAACAGGCAACAACAGATCTGGGTTAAGATTCCATAGGCTCCTCAGAGTTCTTCACCAGAATAAATGAAAATGAAAAAAAAAAGAACCAGTCCCTCCCCCCACACACACACCCCAGCTTAGGAATTTTATATACACGTGTGACTACTTTCCTTGGTATACTAGGACACCTACCATAACCCCGCCTGCCTCACTGGGATGCACCTGGGGAAGAAACTCCATGCAGGCCCTGCAAATAGGCTGGAGGTGATTAGCAAGGAATGATGGGGTCCCAAGTATCTCAAAGGGACACACAACCTCCACCTGGGTATATCCTCACCCTATTAGCCAAAAGAGGACGTCTTTAAAAAATGAAGCCCAGGGTGGAGCCTCTCACCTCCCCACCCCTCCCACCTCACCCCCCATCCATTTCAAAGGGCAGTACTAACCTGAAGAATCAGACTTTGAGAGGGAAAGAATGAGTAAGCATGAAGAGGAAGACAGGGTCATTAGGAAAAGAAATTTTTTAAGTTAACTGCATCAGAAGTTCCAGAGCTTTCTACCAGAGTAAGGCAAAGAAATAACAAGAGCTGCCGAACTCATGGTTCGCCTGGCTCCCCCCGCCTTATAGTTTTACATTTAAAATCCCTTTCCTCCTCTGCGCCCCTGCACTGCCTCCCCACCTCAGCTCAGCTTTGTGATCTTCAGCACCCTCACCCCAGTGCTCATAAAGACAAGAGATACATACAGTGGTAGGTAGGAAGAGGTCAGATAAAACCAAGTACAGTATGTACTAGATTGGTAGTTATAAATGGGGTATAGACCCCACAACACTAGAAAAAGGAGGCCATTTAGTTAGGGGGTTGCAAGGTCCTTGTGGAAGTTATATAATCTGTTGTCAATTCGAGAGGATTAAGAGTGAAGGGGTGGAATTTAGCCTGTCAATCAGGTCCCAGTTTGATGAGTTCATCTGGAGGCGCTAAGGAGATAAATAGCTCCCGGGAGGTAGGATGCAGACTCACTCCCTGCGAGACATTTCTGATGAGTAGCCACATGAAGCTACTCTGATGCAGCCAGAGCCCTGGTAACTGGAGGAGCTGTGTGGAGACCCCTGCCAGTGCTGAGATGCTGACACTGCCACTGGATCCATAAGACTTTGCACCCACTGGCCTGTGATTGTCCTGCATATAGCGTCATTGCATGTGTTTCATGAGTCTGACGAGGACTTTATAGATTGGTATCGGACATGTGGGCTAATATCAGACTTATGGACTTGATCTGGACTGGGCTGGGATGTTTTCTCAATATTCAACTGCTCTTGTATAGAAAGCTCTTTCTTATATACATATCAGCGTCCATGAATTTGTTTCTCTCATGTACCTCGGACTAACACATTATGGTACCTTGGGAGAGGAGTACTAGAGAAACAAATCATAAAGACCGAGAGTGGGTGTTTATTTGAGTTCTGCCTCATGGTAGTGTCCACATCTGCAGAGGGCCCAGGAAACTCGACTTTAGGATTATAGGGCAAGTCTAGAACGTTCTGTGAATATGATCATCTAGAAGATGAGAACAGGACCCAGAGGGTTAGACACACTTCCAGGTGGGGACAAAAGACCTGAAAGAGAGGTGTCTCCCTCTTGTGCCAGACCAGCCTAAACCAGATACATACCAAGCGCATGAGTAGAGAAATAGATTCTCGGTGTCTGGTTTTCAGCTTGTCAGTCTCCTGGCCCAGCTGCAGGAGGCTGACAGAGGCCACCTGTAAAATAAAAAAAAATTAAGGAAGCATATTTTTATGAAGGTCAGAGCAGGAAATTAACTGGAGATCAAGGGGCGTTAGGGGCTGGCACATTTCAGAGATTCGGGAAGGGAAGTAGCAAATCCCCTAGCTTTCAGAGATGAACACTGCCTATCAACCAGTCTGGATTCTACTAATCTGTTAGTGCAGACCCCCAGAAGATTACTGGGGGGAAACCAGGAGGGCAACGTAACCATGTGGAGGATGTATGAAAAGATTGGGCTACAGGACCGGCCCCAACCAGAGCCTATCTGACCCTCGCCCTAGAAGTATGTGCCACAGAGAACAATATTAAACCTTCAGGTGGGAGAAAGGAGCCAACTTACCATGCACACACGGAAGCTAACCACGAAGGAAAAACAGAAAGAGGCAGTCAGCCTAGACTCCATATTGGCACACCAGGGCCAGAGGATGATGTCCCTCTATGGAGCTGCTAAGGCAGAGAGGACTGTAGGAATGCCAACTCAAGACATGTTGTCCCCTAACTGGAGCGTACTGCAACAGAGGACAATAATGGGGACACAAGGCAGGGAGATGATGTGGCCTGAATCCCCCACGAGACAAACCAAGAAGGGAGCATAACAGATCAGCAATTGGAGCAAAGCAAATCCTCAAAGCCAATCCCTAAAGAGTCCCCCAAAATAGACTTCGGACTAGGAAGGGCAGCCCCCGGAACTCCCCCAGGACCAGAGGGGAGAAATTCATAAATGCCAGCAGACACACCTGGAACTATGTATGGCTTTTTTTTTCCTTCCTCTCCTTTTCTTTTATCAATCTTTAGTTTTCTTATTGGTTGGACTAGGACATTGCTGGTTTGCCTACTTATATAAGACAGACATGGGAAGCAAGCTCAGGGAGAAAGCAACTCCAATTGTTTTAATTCCCGAGTTGTTCCCGTTTATGGCACTGGTTGCTCACAACACCCTTCTCCCCGCCATTCTCCCCTCAAGACCCTCCAGAGGGAACTAGGGAATTAAAACCAACATCTAAGGGCTTGTAGAGATCATGTGGGTATTACAACACCAATCTAGCTGAGAGGAAGTACTAAGAGATGGAAGAAGGAGGAACATGATGGTGGCGGGGCAGGAAGAGGCAAAAGGAAAGAAAGGCTCTAGGAAGCAAAGCTATAGAGGTATTAGTAGAGTTGTGTACTTGTGTAA